ATGATAACTTGGATAATTACCAACGCTGACCGCCACATATTGATTTTCAATTTTTTTTTAATAGGTGTATTTGAAATCATATTTGATAGAGGAGCATATATTCATGCAGCACCTCCTCTTCCTCTTTCTCTTTCTTTCTCTCTCTCGTGAACACTGGGGCACAAACCTGTCCAAAGTTAGTGAAGAGAACACCTCTCCAAAGTGCCAGACGCCATCGAATGTGAGCATTTGCCCACTCAAGTCGGTTCCGATGACGAATTGCAGTCAGGTCGAGACCCCGATGAGATGAGGACAACGAGCATGATGATGAGCTTCCCTGAGGCGGTTCCTGACAGTTTGTGCAGAAATTCATAGGTTATGCAAACCGATTGTTGCAGCAGCTGTCCGGGTGGCTGGTCTCAGACGATCTTGGAGGTGAAGATGCTGGATGTGGAGGTCCTGGGCTGGTGTGGTTTCACGTGGTCTGCTGTTGTGAGGCCGGTTGGCTGTACTGCCAAATTCTCTGTAACGCCTTTGGAGACAGCTTATGGTAGAGAAATGACCGTTAAAGTTAACGGGCAACAGCTCTGGTGGACATTCCTGTAGTCAGCATGCCAATTGCACGCTCCCTCAAAACTTGCGACATCTGTGGCATTGTGCTGTGTGATGGAACTGCACATTTTCGAGTGGCCTTTTATTGTGGCCAGCCTAAGGCACACCTGTGCAATACCCATGCTGCCCATGTCTGATCAGCATCTTGATATGCCACATCTGTGAGGTGGATGGATTCTCTCAGCAAAGGAGAAGTGCTCACTAACACAGATTTTGACAGATTTGTGAGCAATATTTGAGAGAAATAGGCATTTTGTGTAGATAGAGAAAGTCTTAGATCTTTGAGCTAATGATGAATGGGGGCCAAAACAAAAGTGCTCATAATTTTGTTCAGTATAATACTATTTTGATTAGTGAGGGAACAGCAATATAGAATGTTATCTATCACTTATGTATCTCTGCTCTTGTCTTTGCTGTTGCAAACCGCAATTTCCCCACTGTGGGACAAATAAAGGTTTTCTTATCTTATCTTATCTATATAATTGATAGTTGTTGAATACTTGTGGCATTTTATACTAAGGATAAAATTTGCCATAACTTTCAAATAAGAAACCTCAGGTTCACTTCATTCATCTTCCTTAAATATGGATTACGCTAAAATTACAACTGCATTTCCTGATTCCTGAAAATTCTACATAATGTTATTAATGTCATTAAAAGCATTTAAAATGTTAAACTAAGATACTGTTTCATCATAACCTGGAAAAGCTTACTAGCAGTTATAGTAAAACATATTTCCGAGTGATCCGATTTCTGCAACTACCACAAAATGTAATCAGGCCAGTTACACAAGATAAAAAAGAAACAGCAGAGAGAAGTCTGTCTTATCAGTGAACTCTAGAAGAGAAGTAGAAACAAGATAACAGAGAAATTGTTGACAGCTATGAGCCCTTTCTTTTTAAATTAATTTACTGTCTGAATGCATAAGAAGGAGAAATGATATAAAGGCTGGGAAGATGTGAGAGGAGAAACAGTAAAGCTTTGTGAGGAAAAAAAAAAGCTAGAAATTGGTAAGCAGCAGAGAGGGTGCGAGAATGATAGTGAATTTATGAGAGACACTGACAGAGTGGATGACAGCTGGAGAGATGTACTGAAATGGTACTCAAGGTCTAACTGTGAAGAGGGAAATCCTGCTGCTACTCCTGAGGTCATGTAGAATGTGGGCATTGTAGTGTGTTATTATGTGCATCTACATGCATGTATGGAGTATCTGTGAACCTATGCGTGTTTTGTTGTCATCTGCTCAGATTAATCCACTAAACCCCGGGATTGGTTTATTTGGCCTAAGCAAGCGATGCAAAGGCTTTCATAAAAGCCCTCATGAATGCTTCACTTTTGTGGTGTTCTCTCGAACCAAAATGTTCTCATAGCTCCAAGTTTACAAGTTGTGACGTTCTAATTGTCAAAAAGAAACATCCATGGGCAGTGTCATTTTAAACAATCTTAGTAAAATATAATAGCAGAGCAGAGATACACCGACTTATGAAGTATTCGTTTGACAGAAAATGCCAAACATTTATTGGTTCCATATTTTCACATGAGAATTTGAGACTTGTCTCGTCATGCATGATAAACTGCATAGCTTTGGTTTTTGGACTGTGGGTCAAATAAAACAATACATTTGAAGGCATTATCTTGGGCAGGCATTTCTCACTATTCTTCTCACAATTTATAATTGGGGAAAAAAGTAGCTTAGTGCAATAGTCATTCCACTTAGCCCTTACAGCTTGTGCTTACAATATCTAGATTTATACAAGATGTATTCCCTCTATAATCCTTTGAACATAAAACATTCTCTATGCCATTGACATGACATGCATTAAAATGAAACAGCAGCACACCCCAATCATTCTGCAGCAAACTAAAACAAATTAATAGACATAATCTGCAAAAACTAATTGTATCAAGTTTGTTTGGAAATATGTTTTGACTGGTTTGAGTGCCGTGTGAGTATGCTATCTGTCTGTAGGTTCTATTTAGGTGCAAAGACTAGTGCAAACAGTGCTACAACAAGGAGGGAAAACATGGCACGACAGGACTTTTGACAGCATCACACTGTCTTTGGCTGCAAATCTGTGGTACTGTTTATTCACACCTTGCCACTCTGAATGATACATAAAATAATTGTATTTCATTTTTGGAGAAGCCATCTCTCCATCTCAAAAAATATGAGACAAGTATCTCTGAAAGGGTAATGATTTACCTCTATATCCTCTAATTTATATACCACTTATATTCACTGACCATTTTGCTCACAGTAATGTTTTTCCTACTGTGTGCTGGTCATTCTCAAAGAAATCCCTCATCTGGTTCACTCACAGAATTACCCCCCATCTAGATAAGATACCACTAAGAAGCACAGCACAAGAAGAGTAGAAACAAAGCAATGTAAAAATCAAACTTCAAATCCCTCAACAACCAGTAAATACAACTAGGGGGAATTGTGTTCAACTAAAACCAGAGAGCTACCCCGGAATCAGTGGCACTAACAACATAATAGTGCATTACAGTACTAATTGTAGGACTATGTGAACCCTTAAAATTACATTCAAGTACCCCAAATGTACCTTTAAACAATACTTAGAAACCAACCGATTTATATTTGCATGTTTGTTTGGTTTGTTGTAATTTTAACATCCACTCTTGTCTGTGGACGGTGTATAGGAGATGCTTGGGGCAGGGACATGTTCCCTCAAAAGTACCACTTATGTTGTGCAATAACACACAAACGCCTTTTCCCCTGTATCATCTGGTTGCCTCAATCAGTGTGTTTCCTCAGTAATTGTTCCTTTAGTTCAGGATGAATTGGGACAAACTATCAGAAACTAGTTCCTTTGTGGTGAATCAAAGGGTTCTGCTCTGATGGGGGCCCATTACGTGCCGGTAATTTACAATACAAATCTACTCCTATTTTTGAGTGTGAGGCTTAAGACATGCCTAGCGCGCACACACACACACACACACACACACACACACACACACACACACAGCTGAACTGATCAATCTCCTCTCTGTCAGTTCTGGTTATTTGGGTGTTTGGTGCTGACACTGACAGCCTGCGGAGACCGTCCAATAAATAAAGAACTAGATATAGCATACAACTCTGACTGATTAATTGTTTTTGGCAAATTGGAACCAATTCAAACCTCATTCCTCCCCTGTAAAAACATCACAGGCTTGCTGGTGTGGTACAGCAGTGTGGTGGAATGGTGTTCAGTATAGACAAGAGTGTCATCAACAGTCTGAGTGTGATTTTTCTTTGCTTTATTTTTGACAACGGTACACCTTTACTTTAATAGTAGGAAACAACACTGCTGTCCTCCCTAGACTCCTGGGAGAACGTGTTAGAAACCTGTGGGTTTGCATTCAATGGTGACATCTGTAACAAACTGGAATTTCTTATCAAATTGTGACTTTCTTGTACATGTTTCCAATGCTTCAAGGGAAACTCTCATTTGATAACATAACCCTGCCCAGAGATGGTGATTACAGACAGTTCTGTGCTTGTCACAGAGTATAACACACATATAAAACACAGATATAAACGCACATATAAAGTGCAGTTATAACCCAGATTAGCAATAAACAAATAGATGTCATCATGAAGCTTACTGTGGCACTGTAAACTACATTATTATGACTTATTCTTATGACTGACATACTTAATGGAACCGTCTGCCCGACATGGAGCTACTGTTCAGTGATCAAAATTGAGACCGTTTTTAAATAAACGACCCTGGCCACTACCATTTTAAAAACAGAATGTCACCCACTACAACAGGCCTGATGTTAGGACAAATTCATTACTGGTTCTGGTGTCCTCATTGGATTGTTAAAGAGATCAGATTATGCTTTTTGGCTTTCATTCTCCTTTATTGAGTTATATACATTTTTGTGCATGTAATAGGTTTGCAAAGTGAAAAAGCTCAAAGTCCAGCCCAAAGGGAGTTTCCATCTCCCAAAACACTGCTCTGAACTGCCTGATTGTAGTCCAGCCTTGCTTTTGTTCTCTGTGACGTCACAGCAAAATGCGCGTTATAATGCTCGCTAGCGACTAGTCCGACGCCCTCAAAAACACTGGTGGAAAAACACTCAGCTGCTGCAGCACAAAGTGACAAGATGTCCGTCTGCTGTCTCTCTTCTCCCTTCCAAACACTAGCTACCCTCCAGGCAGTCAATGGACATAAAGTTGTTACTGTGATGTAGAGACAGAGCTCAGTTAAAACTTTATGAATGAAAGATACATTTTTACAAATTAATAACTCACCACTCTGAAACTCTTGCTCCAGTCTATGTTGCCAAGCTGGTAAGGGGATATACAGCTGAACCAAAGCCGTGTTTACCAGCTTCTCTCTCAAAAATATGGTGTTTTTTGAAAATGAAACCATGTAAACCATTGACATCTTTACCTTCTCCTTAGTGCCAGCCTCCTTGATGCCATCGGGTTTGGTACGGATGGTAAATGGGGATGCAAGCCTCAGGAGGATGCCCTGGAACGAAGGCTCCATCTTGGGTGAGACAATCTCAAAACAGTCCCTGAATGAGAGGCTCCGGTGAGGCTCAATGCGAGCCTGTCTCCTCAGGCCTTCTCCAAGCTGCAGTAGCTCCATGCGAGGCCCAAGGACAAGGTGAAATGGAAAGGCACGGCAAAACGTAGCCAGGCCAATGCGCAGATCACTGGGGTTCGTGGAGAGGGGGGGGGGGGGCATTTAGTGTTTATCGGGGCAGCATTTGGGAAAGAGGAGACGGAAGGTGGGCGTGTCTCCTGGATTTGGAAGGACAGGCAAACTGTGGAAACAGAGGTTGGGAAAGGAGAGGGATGGGATGGGGACGAGGAAGGTGAAGCAGTGGGGGACGCAGTTGGGGTGAGGTTTGAGTCTGTGTGTTCTGTATCTTCACTGGGCAGTAAAGGAGTTAGAGGTGGCACCTCTTCCACCTCAACTTCTGAATGAAAGATCCGTCTGGCAACAGCTCTGATCAACCCTGGCATGACCAAACCAACAACAGGGGCAGGGTTGAAACAATGAAGAAGCAACACCTTCCCTCTTCCATCTTTTTCTCCTCGCTCTGCAACTTTAGCCAATTTTCTTCTCCCTGTCTCCTCCTCGTAGGGATCCTTGCACTGGAAGGAGGGACTCTCAGATGAGGCACGGCGCCCTGTGGAGGTGCGAATGTGTTCCAAAATGGCGTCAAAGCCATTGAAGAAATCCTGGAGGTTGCCACCTACAGCACGAAGCACTCGTTCATTTTCTTCAAAGCAGAGGCCAAAGAACACCTCACCGAAATGCTCACGCAACTCACAGAATGGTACTCCTGGGAGAGAGGGGACGCAAAACAGCCGTCAGCAATGCAAAATGGCACTCTTCTGAGGAGACACACAAATTAAAGTCATTAACGACAGTGATACACAACAATACACTTAACCTGCCCACATGCACACAATCAATTACCTACACTAGACTTACATCTAGGTTCACTGTCTTTCAATATAATTTCTTAATGCGAAACCTCCCTCCAAATGTGTATAATAATTTCCTGTTACATGAAACCTCTGCTCCATGATATGTGTTGGCCAAGATTTAAATTCAGCAAAACATAATTTTTAGGGATATAAACCACAGAAAATCAGCATTCAAAGTAATCAAACATCAAAGCCTTGCTAAAATAACGAATATTGATAAAATAAAATAATCATGTCACATGCCTACTGATGGAATAAAAAATAGGATTAAAGGATTATAGCCAAATTAAAATTGACATTCAATAAAAATGAAAACACAAAACAGAACAAAAAATATGCAGGAAAACATACAAAATCTGGAAAGCATTAAATATGATTTTAACAGGGCACAAGTACACAGATATGCAGAAAGAGAAAACTGCAAACTATGCGCTATGACGTGACACTGATTCTTTAAGACTTTTCAAAAATGCAGTTGTTTCTCCCTTTGACATACACAAACCCCACAGAAGAAATGTTGGTATTTTAAGTGATCTGAGATGGAACAGAGGGAGGATGAAGCTGTACTGGGTGACTCACCATGTAAATGTGTGTTTTTTCATGTTAGGCCATAGAGAAAGTGTGAGCCTTGAGAGTGAGTCATACAATGTGTGTGTGTGCGTGTTTTTGTGCGTATAAATATTATATTGTTTGTATATTTGTGTTATATGAGTGCTACTTAGGCCATAATACTGTGTTTCCCTCTTGCGTTAAAAGTGTCTACAATGTGTTTTAGAGGTCTAGCCCCTGAGGGGTTGCTTTATAACTTTGTGTAAATGTCCACACACACACATACACATAAATAAACAATATTGATACTGACGCATATACTGTATGCATAGGGGGTAAAGAGAGAAGTAGTGCCTACGTGTGATTTGGCGCATAATAAAAATAACACAGTACAGTACAATCGATCCTAAGCACAAACAAAAATAACATGGCCAGAACAAAGAGGTGACAACTAAATACATACGCACACTCATAACAGCAGCAACTCATATACAGAGGACACCGCACAGACCAATTTATAAAGCCCCTCCCTCTTTGCCCTTCCTTTCTCACCGTCAAACTCACATTAATACACACACTTCACATACTTACCCAGAATGGTAGCCATGTACTGTAGGATTTGTAGGACGTCTTCCTCTGAACCAGAATTTTCTAGAAATGGACACTTATCCTCTCTCCGCTCTCTTCGCCTCTCCTCACTACCAACTTCCTGACACCTGTCAAAGACACGAACCAAACACACACACACACACACACACACACACACACACACACAGGATAAGCCATGATTAGCAATGAGATCAGCAAATAAGAAGAGCTAATAAAGCGCTACTAAGTAAATAACTGGATGAACCTCCACCTCTTCCCCTCAAAATGTACCGTGGCCATTTTTCAGTGCAGTGCTCTGCTTTCAGACTTTTAGATTAAAAGTTGTTGAGATACTGTGCCTCACAATAATGTTGGCTGAGATCACACAATGAAATGTTTATACAAGCACTTGCCTAAAACCCACAAACCTGGAATAGTGTACTACTTCTGGAAATGGTCACAATCATTTAGTCCAAAGTCACTCAATCACATTCCCAATGGGACACACAGAAAGCAGTGTAACAAAAACGCTGAAGGCCACAGAAAAATGCCTTCACCGCAGAACAGACTAATGTGTGGCAAAATATGATTTGCGGAAAGTACACCGGGGGTCAGTTCCATTGTATGAATCAGGCAGAGGAAACACTGAGTGACAAAAAGTGAGGCCATAGTGTGAATGAGAGTGGACAGGAGAGAAAAAGAAAATCACCATAGAAATATAAAAATCCAGAGAGGTCCCAATCCACTGTCTATATTTGTATGCAGTGGGTGCTTCATGGAAAATGTTAGGACGTGTTGTGCCTGGCTGAATCCTCTCTACTGAGTTTTACTGTTTTGACAGGGAGGGACAGGAGGTGCAGGAGTGTGCCTATATACAGAATGTGTGTGCGCATGTGTGTGTGTGTGTGTGTGAAAGACAAGGAGGCAGGGAGAATGAGGGGTAGCAAAAAAAGTGAAAGGCTCACAGAGACTGAGCAGGTGTGTGACAGACAAACAAGAGATGTGAGAAAAATAAAGGCAAAGGGGAGAAAATGAGTGATAGGGACACTAAGACGAGACAGCATGTAGACAGCCGGTAAGTGCGTAGATTCATAAAGGAGGACGGGAGTCAGACAGAGAACCAGCAAGAGAGAACGACGTCTTACCTAATCTCTTGTTGTCTGTAGAATTGTAGAGTTCGCTGTAGAGCCTCCTGAACAGTCTGTGTCTGCAAGAAGAAGTGGAAATATTAGACAAGCTTATGTGTTTGTGTGCAAGCATGTACTTGTGCATCCATGTGTGCATTTGTTGCACCTCAACGCATCAATACTGCACATATTCAGTAATACCCAAAATCATTGAAATATATTACACACAAATTGGTGCGTTTCTTTTTATAACCTGCACCATCTGAGCAGACCAACAACCCTGAAGTACAACTGAAACCAAGGCACATTCATATCTAATAGACCCTTTCACAAAGACATTTTGACTTGTTACAGTAGGAAAAGCACAGGTGTAAATAATAAAATAAATGATGGCTGAATTCCATTTAGAACAAGCCTATCTGTTAGCCTACAGCCTTCTTTTGAAAATTAAAAGTGGAATATTAACCATTTCTGCAAAAATATATATTTTATATTTACCTTGAGTCTAAGTAGCTTCTACAGTACAATTACTGACGAACAATTATTGTCATTAATTTCATTTTATATTTCAGTGTCATAAAGAAGAGTCTTCCTGATAGGCCAGTGTTTGTAGAAAACTGAAAGTCAAAAGAGATCCTTTTTTGTGTTTAATATTTCCTATTTTTTAAAGGTCTTCAAAAAATAAAATTGAACATTGGTAAGAATTTAGAGATGACCACAATAGAACTCTGGATTGCGGTGTGCATGTGTGAAGCTGGCCTATGTTGTGCTCGAGCAGCAATATGATTATCTGCGATACCAGTCAAATGCAAGTCTGTAGTGACAATACTAGAACATAGTGTGCCAGCTGGCGAGGTCATTCGGAGTTCACCGCCCACTCCGGACAGATACAGGAAAGATTTTGTGTGTGCCATGTGTGTGTGCATGTAAAGAGGAAGAGAGGGAACAAGAGAGATAAATACTGGTGAATTGTGGGGTTGTAGGTCAAAAACATGAGACAGTGAGAAAAGAGCAAGACTGTGTGTGTGCAGTCAGAGAACCAATCTACATGTGTGTCAGTCAGCAGGTGTTTAAAGGTTGAATATAGGTCTTTCACATATGGTTAAATAAGGGTGAGATGTCAAATTGTAGTTAACCAATTGGATAAAGTATTACAAATCTTTGGCTTTACAAAGCCTGACTCGTTTTTATTTATGCTGTATTCATGTTCTCAACAACGCTGCGATTATTGTAGCAGTCAGAGCCATCTGAAACAACGCCTGCTGATACAAAAAAAATTTCTTTTTTAGCTACAGTGAGCCTTAGCAAAAACAGAGGCAAAATGGGCACTTATTACAAACAACTGCATAGACTTGATAACTTAGAAAAACACCCAGAGGGCCATACTTTACCACTCTGTTTGTGAGGGAAATGCTTTTACTCCGTGTCACCTCTCTATTCCCCACTTAGACATGTGTGTGTAGAACAGAATTGGTGTTTTCTCATCACAGTCTCCTCTCGCTGCGTCCTTGATTCAGCTACTCATTTACCACAGAAAATGCACACTATAGTGTGTGCACCAAGCTGAGCCTCCAGGGATGAGAAATGAAGCCAACATGGAAGTGCCAAAAACTTGAATGGTCGAATGGCCACTTGAGGCTGGCTCCAAAAGTGAGTCAATTCCCATAGAACCCTATGTTTAAAATGCCCAACTTTACAGCAGAAATAAACATGTTAACAGCCTGGTTTCACAGGGGTGAATTTTTATATAACTATAACATTTAGATAATGTTAAGGCTTCAAGTTATACAAAATTAAGGACATGGACTCTTTGAGTGACAGGTGGGTGCCCTCTCAGGTCATTAGGCGTTTGGTGGTTTAGCAACCAGGCTTTTTTCACCCCGCCTCAGCTCCACCTTTTTACCACTTTTCGGGTTAGCTGGAGTCTAGGGCTGGGGCGATTCATCAACGTAGTTGGCGTAATTGATTACATAAATACGACAACTTGCATTACGTGCATCGAAGAAACATTTAAACGGGGCTATATTGTCCGTGCGTGAAGTATAATTCATCTGCAGTTGTTAACACTGTATGATGAAAAATGCCAGTTTAGGGGGTATTACCTAATTTCATTGTCCTACTTGAGCTAATGCAAATGTCACTGGTGAGTTTCCTTTGGCGCTCGGGAAAAACCTCTTCGGGGGGGCGCCAAAACTTTCTCTATGCAGGAAAAGCCCTGCACTGGCATGAATCACAGCACTCTATAGCCTAATTCCAGTGTTCAAGCCAATTGATAATTTAATTAAAATAATGTGGTAAAGCCTAATAACAATAACTAATACGACAATTATGAATTATGTACAATATTAAGGCTAAGCTAACTGTTTATTTATTAAGTTAGGCTATCGTTAAATTGACCTTTAAAACGATCGCATTTACTTTGAAGGCGAAAGGTCTCTGTTTCCAGTTTTAGACTTTCTTGTTCAATTTTCATTGTATAAGTTGGATAATGGAACAAGCCGACGCTTTGGTGCACTAAATTACATTGCATGTCTTCATTCAATGGGACAATAACACAGCGTAGTGCTAACATAGTTTAGGCAGCATTGGCTCAGGAAAAATGAACTCACATGGGTCAACATACATTTTACATTAGCTTGCTTCGTAACGTTCAATACCAACCAACCAATACCAACACTCAGGTAAACGGCGTCTCCACCTCTCAGTCACTGTAACTAACGTGACCCACATGATATACAATACTGCAACAAAACAGCGACAACAACACAGGGGAAGAGCCATCCACTAACCCTACAGTAAAAATACTTACTGCGGTCTAACTGTTATAAAGTGTGACACAGTATCGTTATAATATTCAGTCCAGCTCACTAACCGTTTCGTTATCATCCAATACATTTAGCTGTGTTGACATTGCTGAGCCTCAGGTGAAAGATACACAGATAGTAAACTAGTTACTGAAAAGTAGACAGGTGAGCTAACGCCGATGTAGCACATCAGCTATATGCAGTAAATGTAATGTTATCATGTAATGAGCATGGATTAGTTCAACCTCAAGCTGATAAAACTATTACCTTAACGTTGCAGTGCCTCAGTACGTCTCCAGCATGTTGTGTGAAGGGGTCTCACTGTCATCCTCAGCACAGCTCCAGTGATAATAGTTTATTTATGTTTACCATTTTTCATAATTGATTATTTATTAATGTATATTGTCTGCCATGTAGCAGAAGGGAGTAGGGCTGAAATGGTGTATTGATTAAATCGATAAAATCGATTAATAAAATGCTTCGACACAAATTCTTTGCATCGATGCTTCGTTTAATCCATGTAACTTTACAGCACAGTGTTTCCCAGGGACATTTATTACTGTTGCACATCGCCTTCACGCTGTGAACACGACATGCTTATAATGGAGCTGTTTGCAAAGTGGAGGAAGAGAGAGAAAACAGCAACGGACAAAAAAGAAAGTGTCCAAAGTATTATTTCAAGCTGAAGAAAACAACAACTCTGTAATGTCACAGTCCGTCCACCGTAAAACGAAACTTATGTCACCTCGGCAACAGCATGACAGCGCCTTCTCAGAAAGCAGCCAGTGTTCTGCCAGCGGACCACAGACAAGGTAACAGTAACAGCAACTTTAGCATTTAACTGAAATCACGATTGATTGTTGAGTTGAAACCAAAGTAAGCCGCAGTCCTCAGCTGAAAATGTGCACACGTGCGTTTGTTGTTCTCCTTTTTGGGCCTTGAGTTGTGACCTCACAGTCAGGAGTTAACTGGGTGTCGGGGAGCTGCACCTTTTAACTCCCCTGCAGATCTCTCTGTAGCTCAGACAATCCCTGCTACCTGCGTGTGCTAATCCATCCTTTCACCCATATTCTTTGTCTTTATAACTGTTATCTTTATAATAACAAACAACAGCTGTGCAGGATCTCTCATTTCCCGTTTCACATTTCACGTGTGTTTTCTTGACAAAACGTGGTTTGGAGACCAGCACTCGGGTGATGTTTTTGTTTGTAAATCAGCTGTCTGGTTGTTGGTCTAATGTTACTATGAATTTCCGAAAGGACCAATAAATATCTATCACTTATAAACGTGCACAGCTGATCCTGTTACGTGGGGGGGTACTTCTTAAACGACGCATCAATGAATCAATGAAATAATCAATAGAAGATTCGAATACTAAAATCATCGTTAGCTGCAGCCCTAGAAGGGAGTTACAAAACACAATTTTTTCACTCTATAACTTGTTATATTGTGACAGTAAACCTACCTACCTAATATGTGGCTGGCTGTGCTGAATGAAAGGAGCCGGTATTGAGCTACCTCTGAGCGGGGAACGTTGAAGTAACAGAGCCTGAAGATGTGTGAGTGAAAAGCCACAGCCGGCATGCCGGTGTTTCTGCGTTTATTGCAGGATTTCTGTATAAAAGTGGTTGAATTTTGGATTATGCTCACTCATATGAGTTCAAGTGAGCACACTTACACACCTGGTTGCAATCTTAAAACCACACAGCTAGTGGCCGCTAAAAACTCCCTAATGCTCCTTTAAAGTTTTAAGTAGCCTAATTAATGTCTGTTATTGTTATTATCACAACACATCAGTGACATGGAAATTTGATTCCTTTTAAGATATGCTACTATTGTCATTATTCAAATGTGCTTCATCAGGATGATTGAATAAAATATTGATTTATTGACTAGACATGTTTTTGATATTTATTTTGGATAAATTGGAATGTTAATCAAGTAATAGGTAACTTTTTTTTCTTTAGAATTCACAAAATTAGTTGTTAGATTAATCGACAAATTGATTTGAAAAAATAATCGTCATGTATAGCCCTACTGGAGTCAGACAATGCCAAGATAGTAATGGCCTGAGCTGCCCCAAAAAAACTTCACAACGGCTGTTCAGAAGCCTATGGGTTACATCACGTCCACTACATCCACGTTTTATACAGTCTATGGTGTGCACAGGATTCTACAACATGACCAAACAACTGTTATCAACCACGCCCTTGCACACATACTGTGCACACACACATTATCATTCATCCGCTTTGTTCCATTTGCTGGCATGTTTA